CAAGATTTTAGAGATGTGTAACATGATTCTGTTGAACCATAGTGACTCCTTATCCTGAATGGTATATGAATTCTTCAAATTCCCACCATGAGTGATGAGGTTTTAGTTATTTCTAGACTAGCCCTGTCCGGCTAGCTGTTTGATCTGAACTGAGGTTAAATAAGAGGTTCTTACATAAATTTGGTGTTCTATTTCTGCCTTGTTTCAGAAATTTATGCAAGTTAAGTCTCAGGTGGAGTTTTTCCACTGCTGTTGTTCCTTAGCTGTGTAAGCTGCGCAGGAGACCACTAGTTTTAGAGCGAGTAAAAATCATAAGCCAGCAAACATTAGTGCAGACTGCAAGGTTGGCAGAGCCCGAAACAAAATACACCACTATGCATCCAGGTGCCCGGGAACCATTCTTACAATTTGTGGAAAAGCTGCAAGATGCTGTAGAGAAACAAGTTTTGTGACAGATACAGAAGTTGCTAGTTACATAACTAGCTAGAGATAATGCAGGCTTGTGCCGGGGTGAGGTCCTTAGACCATCAAATAATTGCATTTGCATCTGCTATGGCAGTTAGTGAGAGTCGTTTTGAGCTTTTCTGTGTTTTCCAGGATTTAAATCAGGAGTTGTCGATGTTGCTGCCTTACTTGTTCAGCTCCTTGCGGGGGGGCCTTTAGGCTGTCAAGGCCATCCTGTGTGCTTTCTCAAAGAACATTTGCAGTGTTGTGGATAGTGTATCTTCAGGCCTCCTGGCTGGAGGCCAGAGTAGACCAGTTATGCCAAGTCTTAATTTTCAAGCGTTGTTTGTACTCTAAAGAACTCCTTTGCAGAGGATTGTTCCAGCAAGTTTCCTATGCTTCGATCCAGTGCAGTTTCATAGTTTTTTACCTCTTTTACAGTTTTGAGAAAAACACGCTGTGCTTGGCCAAAAGCCTCCTTTAAGCTGATGGTCTTGTGGTCACTGTGGGAGCTGGGGGCGGAGGGCAGCGTGCAGGTGTGGACCTTGTCCGTCTCACAGTAGCATTCCAGCAGTTTACTGTGCTGGGGGATTTCCTCTCAGCCAAAACCTGGGCACCACAGAGCCCCACCAGGACGTAATTTTTTCTGAGTGTTCTTTGTGCTGTGCTTACTCAGGTGGGCTTGGCACAGGGAGACCTTGCAGGTCAGGCAAGTCTTCATGGCTGAACGGGGGCCTGTGGGGTAAAGGCAGAGTGGGCACTGGGAAGGGCCCTGCTGGCATATTTCTGTTCCTTCTGTATGCATGCACTCCTTGCAGAAGCTGTGACCACACCCCAGAGACATAGGGTTCCTGTAAATGTCCAGGCAGATGGGGCATGTCAGTTCGTCCTTCAGCCTGGTCTCAGCACCCACCTCGGCCATGTTGCCTGAGCTTCGTGACAGGGCTGAGAGCAAGGAGGAGGGCACTGGTGAGGAACTGAGAGCACAGCATACAGAAGCCTTCAGATGTCGATTTAGCTTAATTCATTCTATTGCTCGCTCAGTTGTTGTCTCTTGTCCGGATTGTCGTCGTGCTTGTACTGTCTATTTTAGTACTAACCCTCGAGGTCTTACTCTGGCAAAAGATCCCCAAGAATTAGGTTTAATGAGATCACTGTCTGTACATAACACAAGTGGTAATGGGACTCAAACCTGTTTTATGTTGAGATTATTTCAATCTAGATTAAGTGTTTATCAAAACCACGACTTGCCCAGCTGGCACAAACTGCCTAGCCTGTACACAAAAGAACTGTAGAGCCTGAGTGAAACAGTAGAACACACAAAGAAAGTAACAGTAACAACTAGTCCTATAGACTTGTAGCTTCAATCTATTTTTGGTTCTATGTCTGAATAAGTTTTAAGTTTTGTTAAAGAAAAGCCTATGATGGTTGTTGACAATTGTTGTAATTTTAGTAATAGTTCATATTGCTTTTTCTTGTATTGTTAAATGTGTAAGTGCTATAACAGAGAAAACATTATTAGCCCAGAATAAAAAAACAGGGGTATTTGTAGGGAATTGGCTATAGAACACGGCTTGCCTAGGCCGTGGGAACATCTTAGATAGTGAGGTTACAGTGCCCTTGTACCCTGTTAGCTGGCTGGTAAACAGGACATTGTGATTAGCAAAACAAAAAGCAACTGAGTGCCACCTGTGTCAACAAAGGAAGAGAGTAAGAGGTGAGATCAACATTTAAGCAGAACCAATAATGAGCTTAACCTTTGCAATATGTATGAGCTAATTATAAAGCATATATTAAGCTGTTAGCAATGATCAATAAACGAAGCTTGCTGATTCTCATATTGAGGGTCCCTCTCTTCCCTTGTCCAACACCTGCCCATCTGTCACGGCCCCCCCGGCCCAAAGGTCCGATGCCACCTGCACGAGTCGTCGAGGGGCTGCTCCCAGCACCCGTGGGCAACCAGTGTCCTGCCCTCTCCCTGCAGCTTGGTGGACACAGCGCTGGAGGGCAAAGCCAAAAACCTCCTCTGCACGTGTTTCTCAAGTGTCTTCTGGTTGCCTGCAGAGAAGGAAATGCCAAAAGGGGACCTTGCCCTCTACATCAAGGTAAGTGCTGGGTGAGCTCCAGGGGCCTCCAGCCCCTCTGGCCTGCTCCCTGGCTACCCCATCGTGCCACAGGAGCAGGGATCCCAGGCAGGGCAGGGTCTTTCCCACCCTCGTGCCTCTGTCCCCTTCCCGTGGGCCTGGCTGCATCCCGTGCCACAGGCTGCTCTGCCCTCGCAGATTGTCTATGCCCATGTCTCTCCCGGGAAGTGTGGGCATCCTCCTCCTCCTCCTGTGGCACAGGGGATTCAGATGGCTCTCCTGGGGCTGGGAGGAACAGCAGAATGACTGCCACTGCTCTCTGTGTTCCTTGCAGACCCTGAACTCCATGGACAGCATGCTGAGGACAATGGTGCTCAGCTTTCCTGCCTCTGAAGTCAGTGACGAGCTGCAGGGCATCTTGGAGGTCTGGCACAAGCAAAAAGGGGGGAGTCCCAGGGCTGTTCCTCAGCCTGGAGGGGAGAGTTTGCCCACTCCTGACTGAGTGGTGCCCAGAGCAGTGCTGAACAGGCAGAGTGCCCTGCAGGGAGGGTGCCCACCTCCTGTGGGGAAGCAGGGGCTGGCCCCAGGCTCTCGTGGAGCACAGGGGCTGCAGAGGGTGGCACCTGCCCTCCTCCTTGGCCATGAGGTTGGCTCTGGAGCCTTTGTGCCCGACCTGGGCAGGAATCCAGGGGCAGACACCCCACTGCAGGCTTTGCTGGAGGGGAGAGGAAACCTTGAGGGATGGGGCGAGCGGGGTCCAGCAGCGGAGCTGTGCTGCTGGTGTTGGAGTCTGCTCCCAGGGCTCACCAGCAGCTTCTCTTGTCCCAGCTGCTGCTGGACTTCACCAGATGCAAGGGAGAGGCTGTGAGGGAGAGGGCCATGGCAAGGATTGATGTGCTGACCTGTGTGCTGTCCGACTATTCCACTCTGCAGGTAAGGACCAGGCCCCCTCCAGCCAGGCCATACCCCCATCCCTGCTGCTCTCCATGCCAGGGCTGCTGCCCACATGGCTGCTCTGAGAGATGGGGACGCAGGGCTTTGCAAAGCCTGGACTCTCCAGCAATCCAGCCCTGGGCAGACTCTTGGGAGGGGGGCTTTGGCACCACCTTTGTGCCCTCAGCCCTTCTGCTCATGCCTCCCTCATCCAGGCCCATGCCAACGTCACAAGAGGCATTTCTGGACTTGTCTACTCTGGGGAGATCCAGCTCCCAGTCCTAGGAAAGCTGCTGGGGCATCTCATCCTTTTCCTGTTCTCTGAGGAGCAGACAAGCTGTGCAGCTTTCCGTGCTCTTTTTGCCCTGGCTGAGTAAAAAAAGGCAGAGCAGTGCTGGGCTTCATTGCTCTGCACACAGACATCTCCTGAGAGATCTGCTTCCTGACCCCCTTTGCCCCTTCCAGCTGCTTTCCAGAGCTTCCCAGCTGCCACTTTGCTGCAGAAGCTGAGTGCTCTGCTCAAGGCCAGGATCTGTTTGCTGCTGCTCTCCTTCCTCCCCTTCCTTTCAGGAGCTTGCAGCCCACTGGTTTGTGGGTCCCACAGCCAAAGCCCCTCTTGACTTCCCTGTCCCAAAGCCATGTCTTCCCTGGTGGGGAAGAGCAGATCCCCCACCCTGGCTGGTCCCTCCAGTGCCTGTAGCAAGAAGTTGTTCCTGATGCCCTCCCAAAATCCTGGACTGCTCCTGTCCTGCCCCCTTGCCAGCAGATGCCAGGGCAGTTTGGTGAGCTTGCTGGCAAAGCTGCTCTGCCTTCCTGACTCTTGTGTGTTTGCCCTGGTGTTTAGTTGAATCCAGGCTAAAGGACAGAGCAGACCAAGTCCACCGGGAAGCCGTGACCACCTCCGCGCTGTGTTCTCTGAGCCCCAGGGACTGTGCCAAGGTAAGGAGCTGTGCCCTTGCTGGGACTCCTGTCCGTGGCACCAGCAGGGCACTGGTGTGAGCCAAAGGACCCCACAGCAGTGGGGCTGGCGTGCACTCAGCTCCCTGGGGAGAGGGTTCCTGCCATCCTTGAGCAGGGACAGCACGAGGGCTGCACTCCAGTGGCCCAGCAGCAGCTTCAGCCCCAGCAGGAGCTCCAGTGCTCCTGGCCACCAGCAAGTCCCTGGTTCTCGGTGGGGCCAGCAGCCTGTGCCCATGAGCCCTCCTCCCCCAGCAGGAGGGCCCTCTCTGCTCATCTTCTGCCATGCAGGGACTGCAGGCACTGCTGCCAGCTTTGCTGTGGGCACTGCTGTCAGCAGTGGTGGGCACGTCTGGCCAGGGCCGCTCGAGCTGCTCAGCCAAGCAGCACCATCAGGGCACTCAGCGTGACACGTCTTCCTTCCTTGCTGCCATAG